CTCATGCCGTTTGGCCATCATGGGCTCGCAGCCTCCGGAGTTCTCCCCGGCAGATAACCCTGCGGCGGACTGCGACTCCCCGGCGGTGCGCTCCCTCACCTTTTTCTTCCTGCCGGCGTTCAACGCATGGCTGCTGCTGTGCCCCTACACGCTCTCCTTCGACTGGTCCATGGAGGCCATCCCCCTCATCACCTCCATCGCAGACCCGAGGAACCTGGCCTCCTTTGCGCTCTATGCCGTGCTGGCCCTCCTGGCCATGACGGTGCTGCTGTCGCTGCGGCGGCGTCGCCCCGGAGAAGACGCAGCCGGCGGCGAGACCACGACGTCGGGCGACGTGACCGTGATGGGCCTAGCTCTCATGCTACTGCCCTTCCTGCCCGCCACCAACCTATTCTTTTACGTGGGCTTCGTCGTGGCCGAACGCATCCTGTACATCCCGTCCATGGGTGCGTGTCTCCTGGTGGGCTGGGGCGCCCACCTTCTGCACGCACGCGCCCGCACCGTCCGCGCACGCCGCCTACTGCACGGGGCATTAATTATCCTCTTTTTGCTCTTTGCCGCCCGCACGTGGAGTCGCAACCGTGACTGGGCAACGGAGGAGAACCTTTACCGCTCAGGCATCGCAATCAACCCGCCCAAGGGTAAGTTCTATCACTTGCCTTTCCACATGCGGCTTCCCTGCACAGCTCATATGCCCACGCCGCTCGGCCCTAGAGCGCTCTCATCCTCCAGAAACACTTCATTCTCTTACACCCTTCCAGGATTCTCCAAAGCACACCTTCTCAGTGCAAACCCACCCACGGGCATCCGCAAACGAAAGTCGCCCACCAGACGCCCCAACCTCTGTCCCCGTCCCTTGCCTTCCCTCAGACCCCTCCACCCACCGCCCACGATTTCTCCCAACCGTCCCCTTCCCCAACGCACGCTGGAGCCCCTCTCATCGTTCAGGAAGCTGTTGACGGGGATCTATCTGGCCCATTACACTAGCTCCCCGACCCGGCACTTAAGGGGATGGCTGTGATTTCCATCGGCGCGGCAAGGCCTCGGCGGGCGCGGGTGCTCGGGACGCGCTCGGGTTTGCTTGTTTCTCTCTTCGTGGGTGTCTTGCCTTTGCTTGAGCTCCGCGCGCCCGTGTGCGTGAGTGTTTGTCTATGTGTCTGTCTATGTGTGCTCTTGCGTCGTATTTCCTTTTAACAACAAATGCCATATTATAAAAGGAGATAATATTATATTATCACGTTTTAGTCTTTTATTTATTTTAGAGATCACTTACATAATAATCCCAGTAATAAAAGGAAAGAAGCGCAGTATTTCTTAACTCCAGCCTTGACCTTTTCCTGGAAGCGTTCAAAGAAAAAGATATGACTGACTTTTTTTAATCAGTCATTTTTGAAAGAATGACATGGGATAAATCTAGTGCTGACTTCTGCTCAATCGTCCCCATGTGTCCTGCTGAAAATTTAGAATGAAATTATTGAAAGACGACAATAGCTTTTTTTTCTTCCTCGAATAACTTGCCCAGGAGTCCTTCCTATTTGTGTGGCCTCCTTTTTGCAGGGCAACCACAATGGAACTAGTGCCCCATATGCCAGCCATATGGAGCCCTTACCTGTGCCCGTCCCTGAACACAGCTGACGAGCATGCCGGCACTCGAGAGCAGATCAGCTGGGCCACAACCCACAGCGAGACGCAACGGGTCCTGGACCGTTTTATTTGTTCCACTTCGTGATATTATCATAACTTTCCTATCAGATGTGTCTGGAGCATTTTACTTTCTCTTTTTGTGCTTTGGAGTGAATGACAAAAAATGTGTCATTGTTCCGGCTAGCACAGTCAGGTCCCTACACCGCTTTAAATAACTCGCGAAGAATGTCGTTTCTTTCACCGCCCAGAGTAATTTCGCGAGAGGAAGCCGCGGTCAAGGCCAAGGCACGGGACGAGCTCCTCGCCGCGCGGCCTTACGAGAAATGGACGGAATGAAACAAACGAGTCCGCTTGCGTTGACATGGCAATTATTTCATTAGGGACTCTGCATAATATGATTAAAAATTTAATTTGGGGGCCATAGTTTTTAGAAGCGGCTTCGGCACTTCCATGTAGTTTGTTTTTACGTTAGAGTTCTTTAAACACGTATAAACCATGCCTACGAGATCGCAACATGTAAAAAGCCTCAGGAGGAACTCCTTCGCCATGTGAGTCGATTACTAGGTCTATCTTTTTTCCTTCTTCCTCAGTCCCTTTATCGACGCCGTTCTCGATACCCGGAGTGTGTGATCTATGTTAAATTACAGATTTTATGGGGCGGCAGCAACGAGCGACAACTTCTGAGTTGCCGGTTTTGTTGTCTTTTTTCCATCTTATTTCTTATTCCGTATTGCCTCTTTATGGTATACGACGGTGCAGAGTCTGAAACGATTATCACGCAACGGCTGCCAGAACTCCCTGCCGCGAATAATGCTAAAATATGTGGAAAAGATTGCGGCATCAAAAGTAGGCGCCA